CGCTGCCCCCCCCCCCCCCCCCCCCCCCCCCCCCCGACGAGGAGAAGTAAGCCCCCTCACCGTTCCATTTAGCCCCCCATTGGCGAAATCCTGGCTACGCCACTGGTCAGAGCCGGTCCTCAAAGAGATATAACATGATACATTTCCCGGATCATGATTCTCAGGAAAGTGCCATTTGGAATGTTGTGTTGTAGGATGCAGAGAATAACCTTGGAAATGATAAATTTACAAAACACGTCCCCATCGACTCCTCAGGTGGTATTTCGTTCTCTGACGCTATCACTTTTACAACGAAGTATAATTTTTCCTGCCCTTCAACCGAAATCATATCTCTTGCACATGAAACATGTACACTCGACTCCTACACGAGGAATACTTTCAAAATCTTCAAAGGAGAATTTAAAATAATCATCGCCAAGTTCCAGAACTGCCTGGAAACCAAAATGTTAACATTCGGAGCGTACACTACTTTCTTTGTTCCATAAAGTGCACACACTGGGGCCATATGCGACTCAAATTGTTTTAATACAATATGAGCTAGAATTTGAAACTGTGAAAGATGGTGTTAATTGCTGGTCAAAGCTTCGTTCCAACGTCAGGGTGTGCCAAAAGTAGGTATACAATTGTATGTATGAACTGTGTGAGAGAGAAACACATGGAAATGTCAGGACAAATTTCCAGCCATCGCTGTCTATCAACTACCTGCAAATAAAAATAAAAATAAAATAGGCAACTGTATACCTACTTTTGGCACACCCTGTATAAATCTGTGAAATGGAAGCACAGACATGAATGGATGCATGAACAGACACCGCCAGACGAATGCAGCCATGCAGACAGTCTGTATGACAGTGAGTCTGATATAGACATTTTAGGACCATCTATTCATATCAGTCTGCACTCTCTTTATCACGTGCACATTTTGTGCACAGAACCAGTGTGAAGACTCTCCTATATTGGCTCCAGAAGGCTTTGTCACATGGTCCTTTGTTCAGGGGAGCAAAACGACATCTGCACAATGGGGTCTATCACCTCCCAGTCTTACACCACAATGAAGGGAAGGTAAAAGACCAGCTAGGTCCTCTGAGTATACCAGAGAAAAAACTACTCGGCTCACTGACCCCAGTGTGTACTCCTAAGGTTAATCTGAAGAATTTTATTTGCCTACGTATCAAATGCAGGATCTAAAGAAACCTACCCGCAATTCTGAAATTTGCATAGGTGATGCAAAACATTTATATTATATAATATAGGTTTTCCCGACGAATTTCGGCAAAAGTCCTTTCAAATTTGGCAACGTTCCTGTCTCCTCCTCGTTTTCCCATTCAAGGCAGGTAACTTTCCATTTCGGCATTTGTCGTTTCAATATCGGCAGCGCAAGGGAATCTCTTGTTTTTGGTAATTAATATGGGTATGAGGAATAGGGAAGGAAAAAGCACAAACGCATAGAGTATTTTCGGCGAATAATCATTATTTTATTATGCAAAGGAAAACACATGGACATTGACACTGATTCTACCCATCGATACGTTCTCTCCTTAGGCATCTAATCAAGTATGTTGTGCATGGCGAAACCAAGCAAAGCACTTCTGATGGGTTATATGTTCCGTCGGATTCAAGAAAGGAGAATATGCCGGCAGAAATTTCACGTGAACGTTAGGAAAGTCATCTGGGACCGAGACTCGTTTGTGGGGTCTAGGTTTATCTAAGATGACACAACAGAAGCGCGTCACATCGTCGACGTTTCAGGAGTTATTTGAGGAGCTCCTGAGACATGTACACATGATTTCGCCACCAGTTAACCAGTTTATGTCATCATGGATAATGCTAGGCCCCCACAAATGAGCCTCGGTCCCACATGACTTTCCTAACGTTTGCGTGAAGTTTCTGCCGACATATTCTCCTTTCTTGAATCCGACAGAACATGCCCACTCTGCATTCAAGGCAGCTGCCAAATGTGAGGTGTACCTTCCTGAAACACAGGTAGAACTTTAACGACGAAGACCACAACAAAACTTGCAGCAAAGTCGGACAGAGAAGCTGCTCGAAATAAGAGAGGTATCAGTTGGACAAATAACCCATCAGAAGTGCTTTACGTGGTTTCGCCATGCACAAACATATTAATACATACTCCGATGCCAAAAGAAGAGACCGTATCGATGGGAAGAATCAGTGTCAATGTCCATGTGTTTTCCTTTGCATAATAAAATAATGATTATTCGCCGAAAATACTCTATGCGTTTGTGTCCTTTCCTTCCCTATTCCTAATACCCATGTTAATTACCAGAAACAAGATATTCCCTTACGCTGTCGAAATCGATAGTCACCTGCCGAAATTGAATGGGAAAACCGGGAGGAGAGAGGAACGCTGCCGAATTTAAAAGGACTTTTGCCGAAATTCGTCGGGAAAACCAATACTAAAAAATTCTGGACTGTAACCTATTTCATCCCCTTGGAGACCTGGTAATTGGCCTGGGAATCAACAGTACTTTTATATTTACCAAACTTAATTTGATTCCCAATTCTTTGAAAGATTTCATTCTATCTCACCCAATTAATGATACACAAAAAGATCTACAAGAAAACCCTATCTTACTAGGTCGACTGAGTCTACCCAAGGATGCATTACAGAGTATCTTTTAACCCTTTCAATGACAAATTAATATGTGCATGGTCAGAGATGCATTGAACTCAAGCAAAAACTTGCTTGTCACCGAGGCTCATTGCTATATCTCAGACTGGAAGACAGCTCATTCTTTCAATTGGACTTCTGCTTTCCCTTAAAATTTTGCTGCACATGCTGTTGCAAGCTTTGAATGAATGTCAAATAGTGTCTCCAAATGGAGATGCTACTGTGGAAAGGGACACAAGTGCACAAGTTTTATCATGACAGAGTGAGTAAGCAAATGTCCATCAACATGATGGTGGTTACAATTGTGCGGTTATTCTGGAACCTTGGGCCGGCAACCTTCTAAAAGAATGTCTTTTCATTCTGAGTGGAGGCTGCAGGCTGGGTTGACCAGGAGTACATCACCGGTCAATACAATATTTTCACCTCAAGTGAGAGAGTTAAGGACTCTTTGGGTTTGTTCAAGTTCATGTGGCATGACCTAACATTGTCCGTCTGCATTCATTGATGGCTGTACTGAACTATAAATTTCAACTTCTTAAGCTTTCTCCAGAGATGATGAGTTTGATCATCTTTGATGCTGTATTAACTCTTTAATGCATGATTTTTTCCTTTTCTTTTTACAAAAAAAATCTGGTGAGTTTCACCCAGGTCTTATAACATGGGGAAAATAGGGAAAACTTTTCATTCATCAAATTTGTAAGTTGAAGGCCCAAACATTTTATTGTTGTTTGTTATTCTAATATTTTTTTGGTTCAGAATGTAGCATATCTGCTCCACCATGCATTAAAGGGTTAAGAAGTAAATGGAAGTCTTCAATGATACAAAACACTTGCATTCTATAAAGAATGGGAAGATGCATGCTCTGAGAAACACTTCACTATTTAATGACATGAGAACCAATGGAATGATGTCCTCAAAAGATGAATGACAAAAGGACATCATCATATGTGACATCACAGCAACTTTGAATCTAACATCTAGGACAGACTAAGTGCAGTGCAATGTAGTGCAATACCAACTGGTCACAAGGGGTCTGGTGCTCATACACGAGATAGAAATTGTGAAGCCTCGTAGCCTACTGATAAAAGCTACAAGGAAACAAACATTCTGATGATGTGGAACTGAGTACAGCATGCATCACAGGCCTAACCATCTTCCTACCAAGCCATCCAAAACTTCTTCCATTGTATTCTCATCTAAAAGTGCTGCCTTGGACAAACCGAGTACTGACGGCACCCCGAACTGGACTGGACTCCACAGGGTACAGACACGGAGGGCTTGTCACTGGTTCAGAACCACTCACCGGGGAAAGACTGGCTTTGCGAAAATGAGGGTGGAGTGAATGATGCTTTCTCACTAATGGCATGGGCATACTCCAACGTTTCTTCTTCAACAAGTGTACCTTGCCATGGAACTGCTTTACATCCTATATATTGCAATGGAATGACTCCTGAACAGGGTAGACAGATCCAACTTGAACAGCAAAGAACACCAAACACTCTGCCTTCCTGTACCAAACACAGGTCACTGATGACACTGAGGAATTTGAACAGAATCTGAATGCAGATCAGAAGTGCTTGAGGGATTTCGAAGGAAGTGGGCTCTGTCTATGACAAACCCTAAATTTTCATAGCAGAATGTCCCCTGAACCTCAAGCTACCCTCAGCTCATAAGAATTCTCAAGTTCCCACACATGCAGTCCTGCACCTGATATCTTACCTACTCAATTGAATTCCTCCTAGAATTGTTTCTGCCCTCTTTCTTACATTCCACAATGGCTTATGAATTCCCTTGTGTGATTACTCATCCAAGTCCAGAGGAAGAACATAAGGAAATGAAAAATCATGCGTCACCAATTGTCGTGCAGTCCTCCATGCTATCTTCAGACAGGAATGCAATTTGAAAGAAAATTTCTCCCTCAATGTAAACAGTTCTTATAGAGATAGTCTCCTAAATTGGGTGAAGATATAACTTATACTTCTGAGTGAATTTGTCTGACTAGGTGCCATCGCAAGCAGAGGATGCAATGATACCAACACTTTTGGGTGCCATGCTTAGGGAGTACAGGTACAGGAGGGGGATCTGAGCCAGGGGAACATCAACAGGGAGTCAAGGACTCTGAGAGGAATACTAAGACACCCCTACACTCTGTTTCTAAGAATCATTCTCCAGAGCAATGTGAGAAAGAGATGGAGAGATACCTCATTCCACCAAGTATTTTTCAACTCTTGGGGATACGGGTCGTAATCAAATGGATTTTCCAGTGAGAAATGAGGTGGGCGAGGAGCCTTGGTCTTCACGAGGCTGTACAGACGTACATAGGGTGCCTTGAGCATCTGTGATAAACAGAGGATTGCATAGCACCCTGTTTGTTCATCCATCTTTTCATATGCTGGTCAAGGAGCAATCAGTAGGTACAAAAAGGTATTGCCTTCAAGAGTCTCAGGGTAATCACAGTCTCCATTTTGCTTTTCCCCAATCCTTAAAAGAATTTAGCATCAGATTTCAGACACAAGAACACCACTTAGTTACCAAATGGCAGCTGGGGAAGGAAGAGGCTGCATCAGGTCAGAAAGGCAAGATCTGTTGTAACTAGCATGAATGGCAAAAGGTCTTATGGCGAAACAGAGAGACTCACACACCTCCCAAGACTCTCTGAGATCACCTATGTCAAGGTGCGAGGGGTCCTGCTCAGATCCAGTTTCCTCCAGACCAGTCTCATCCCAGAGTTCACAATCAGCTGGGACAAGCTCCATACCCTTGGCTTCGAGATGCATATCTTCCAATGGTCCATAAATGTCTGGGACCCATAGCATGAAAAATCGATACAAGTCATCCACCCTGAAACAAAGACAGATAAGAAACACGCTAAAAGTAACACGTTTGTCCTGATTGAAGGGCAAGGGGAACATGGGTATCACTCACCTGTCCTTGGGAATGGAATACCAATATTCGGGCTGGATTTGTTTCTTCCCATAGGACATGATGGGAGTTCCTCGAGGCAGCTTCCTATCCAGGGGGAGCCCCATTCGGAGACAAAGGTACAAAGGAGGGTCATCACAGCCCTTTGCAGGCTTTGGCATCAGTTCTGTCCAATATGACAATGTAATATGAGAATGTGGAATGCAAGGAGTAAGTTACTGGCTCTGTAAGGTACAAGATAACAAGAAGTTTGTCTCACGGTCAAAGGAGGCAAAGAGTTCTGGCATGTCTTCCATGGAGACCATGCTTCGATACGATAGCTTCGTCCCTTGCGTTGTGGAACAAGTATCAGAACGATTTGGCTCCAATCTCTTATGCCCTTCAGATGACAAACCTCTGGCATGAAAAAGAAGGATGGAATGGAGTCAGAATTGACCCACTCAGTGAGTAGATATCACAAACCTTCCATAATGGAAATCTGCAATAGATATGCAAGAAAAGCCATCCCACAGGCAAGTCATAGAAGCAGTCAGCTAGGCATTACCATGCAGAATCTGACACCATGTCACCACAGACCAATCTGTAACAATCACTGCCATGCAGTAGTTGTTTTCATCATCACTAACGCCTTGTGATGATCAATGATGGAATGATACAATTTCAAGAAGCAAGTACTGTATGCAGTCAAAGACAGAAGTCAGAGTAACCCTAAGTGAGATATACATGATCTAGCCTATTCCTGGAAACTTATGGAAAACTTGCCATACACTTGCAAATTTCAAAGCTTTTCAGATTCTAGGTCACTAAGGAAAGAAAAAGGTAAGGAGTCAGACAACAGCAATTGTATGATGATTTAACAAGAGAGTATTATGCAGAGAGAATGAAGAGAAGCAGGAGAGGAGTATATGCGGGCCAAAGGGCCTCACCCGATTCGAAAGATAGACCTTCGTGACTTCTGGCTTTTCCTGGGTTTCTCATAACCCAAGACTTGAACCAATGAGAGTCGATCATTCTGGGTCGAGGCTATGGGGGTGAAGTGGAAGTGGGGCTTTCTCAGGAGGCTCATGTGGTGACTTTGGGAGTTCTTCTCTGACCCCACACCTTTCCCATGAGCTGATTCTACATTCTCTCTAAGGGAGCTGCATCAAAACAGTTTCATGCATTCACACAGGCAAGCAAACTACAGGGATGGAGCTATACAGGGTGAGTTAAAAGTCCTGCTCATCCTGCGTTGATAACTTTTGAATGGCAGATCGGATTGTGATCCAGATTAGACCATTTACAAGACAGGAATATCCTCTAAATAGAGATACAATTTCACATAATTTTGTCAATTGCTTCTTTTTTTCCTGAACCATAAATTAACACCTTGACCACCATGGCCATATTAGCCTGGTGACTTTCCTGGGCCAAAATAAATTTTTACATCCCTTGGAGAAGGTGAAACACAGGGCGCACAGGGTGCACAGGTGTGCCCCATGACAAAGGGACTTTGTGAGGTGCACTGGTGTGCCCCATGGTGGTCAACCTGTTAAATACCCTTCTTGGGTGTTATAATGTATTCAAACCTGGAAATGTGCTTGCACATCAGGGCAACTTAATTCCAATTAAAAAAGACTTGAGGAAAATGACTGAGGAACAACTGAATATCCATAGGTCTGTAGCAGATGTTCAGCTTTGTTATTAAAAAGCCAGAACTCAATAGCAACCATTTGAAAATTCAAGAAAAAATTAGACCAAGAAGCCCTCAGTCAATCGCCTCTATCAATTCAAATACTGACATATTGGGAATAGCACACCAGTCCTGTTTCAGAAGTTCAAGAACTGGTCACTCTGAAGTAAACTTCAAATTTAAGAGGAAGACACTTAGAAAGTGAATCCAGTTCGTGACAGAAGAGACCATGATTCCTCAGCATCAGTCAAGTGAATGTTGCAGATCTCAAGCTTATAACTTTAATTTCTTGTATGAAATGAAATAGGAAGTGGTATATAGAGAAACTTCATGACATTCATATGATTTAAGCTTGCAATCTGATCATTCATTCATGAGTTATTACTAATCAAATGGTGGAAAGGACTTTTGACTCACCCTGCACAACAAATGCACACAGATGACTCTCAAAATGTCAAACATACAAAGTTAGCAAGGGGGGAATACACACAGGAGCCCAAGAAAACTAATAGTTGCAAAGCAATGCTCTTAAGCAATATCCGGTAACATGCATCATGCACTCTTGAGTTACTTATGGCTTCCAATCTAGACACTGTCCTTCATGTACTTGCATTTGATATCACCTTTGCATTTTATATCTAACCAAAGGGTTGCAAAAAAGTTGAAATTTTTAAACTTTGTCAAAATAGGTTCCATCATCCTAGAAGCATTCAACATTGATTCAATGTTGGTTCAATGTCTGGATGTTGAATCAACATTGAATCAATGTTGTTTCAATGTCATATGCTACTAGGGCAATTGATAAAAGGGTGAAGATTAACACTTACAATTATCATTTTTTTAGCTGGCTGATACAAATATAAGTAGTCCTCAGTTTTCATTTTTCAGTCTGAAAAGAGTAAATTCCTAAATATAAAAATTTATTAAATGCACGTAGCCCTTTTGTCAAATCATTGACAATGTGTAGCAGTCATGGGGCAATGATTGTAATGTTGCCTCTCAATGCATAAAAACTGTCATATGTGTAAATGGACATCCCACCAGTCTCCCTAAAGAAGTATTACTACAAGTGACAGCAACTTGATAGCAGAGATTTCCTAGAATAACTTTCTATCCATGGTGGCAAATAAAAATAAGGAAGTAGAACAAACATTTCATCATGTAGAATTTGCAGAGGAAATTTGTTCCAAAAGTTATTCTTAAATTAATCTGTGATGGGACCAAGTGAAATCTTGCATAGAAACTGCAGAAAATTTGTGAACTTTGACAGGATTACAATTTGAAAGGCCATGTTCTAAATTCTCAAAGAGATGTGCAGATAAGGAAAAAAGTGTAAGATAGGTGAAGGGAATGTTATGGTCATAGCTTTTGCAATAGCTTCTCCATGGTCTCCGTGGTCCCTTGTCTCCACTCTAGTTCACATGTCCATAGACTATGAGCTGGCCTATATAATTGAATTTCCTCTAACGATAATTGTTTGGATCTGGACCAAAAGAGAAATTAAGGATACACTGTGGATGCCAAATCTCATGCCAAAAAGCAACTAATAACCCTCCCAATAGTATAGGAGAAAACCCAAAACAAACTTTACAGAGACAGATTCACAAAACCAAAATGCTACAGTACCCCTATCCTTTTGGGAGATGGGATGGATGATGATTGATTGCTGGAGGGGTGATCAGGCTCTGACAAGTAAAAAACAGCAGCACCTAGCCAACTGGGCCAGTTGGATCTGGCTGGCTAAGAGCTCTAACTTGGTGGTTCAGACAGCTTCCTTGAATTTACACATTTTCATGAAGCCAAAAAGGACATGATAGCATTTTTATTGCTTAACAATTTACCACTAAATCAAAACATTATCTCATGGAAAATTATCATTGTAAAGCACCATTCTCGGGAAACTCTTACATTCATATAGAAGACATTCTTTCCACAGAGTCAAAGATCCTGCAGGTGGATGTAAAGATGATGATGAAAATTTTGGCTTTATTACTACAGCTGGCTAACTATAACTTTTAGTCATCAGGGTCAGCCTGGCATTTCAAGGCAACTACAGGGTGGACTTCATGTATGAATACAAATTTTCTCAATATGTAATTTCTAAATGCAGGTCAATTTCAAAATTCGGAGATGTGCATCTGAAAGTCCTTTGTCCTGTCATCATAGTTTGTGATGAAGACAATTCAAAGTTTTTTATTCATTGAAATGGAGGACAAAGCATGAAAGCGCAGTACAATTGTGCCTGTTCACCTTGCTGACAAAACACTGGAAGAAATCTTTAGTCTTCTAGCCCACACTGGTATTAAGTGGAACTTTGCGTATACTACCATAAAAAGATACGATGAACTTCGCTCTATCAAGGATCAACCGAAGCTTGGCTGCTCAAGCACCAAAAGAACCAAAAATCTCATTACAAAATTGAAAAGTCATGCTGCAAGAAATCCACAAAGGTTGCAGAGAAAAAAGTCAAAAGATCTGAATGCCTTGAGGTCCACCATCAGGACAATGTTGAAAAATGGCCTTGGACTTAGACCTTTCATAAAAGTGAAAAACCAACTCCTGTCCAATGAGCAGGAGCAAAAGCAGAAGACTAGAGCTATGGCTTGGTTGAGGCATTTTACAGGTGACAAGTGGAAATTGGTAATGCTTACCGATGAGAAGCTTTTCATTGTAGAAGAAAGCACAACACCCAAAACAAATGGGTCTATGCAACCAAGAAATCTGCTATTCCAGATGAAAGTTCGAGGTTCCTAAGAACACAGAAGCCTTCTAGTATGATGGTCTTTGCCAGAGTATCCTTTTGTGGTTGATTATGTATCATCACACCTGCAGTGCTTAGATGGACGTAGTATTTAGAGTTCTCATAGGACTTGGGCTTTGGGCACCACCTTGAATCATTTTTCAGGTCAGTTGCATGCATTTTTGGACATACTGTACCCAGTTCTCAGGTATCTGTTTCTTATTGGAAAACTCAGCTGTACAGAATAGAGAGTAAAATTGGAGCAAATACAATGTACATTGCTATAGATGAAGTGGTTCACCAATTATACATTCAAAGTGACTGGTGAAAACTTGCAAAAAACAAGCAGATTTAAAATTTTACTTGCATCCCTATCTTGCACTGTACCAGAGCAAAAGCTATTTCTCAAAGCAATTTCTTCACACATTTCAGATGGTTTTGTGTGTGGTGGAAATATTGACTGGTGGTGAATATGTTGAAAATAAAGCAGTTATGAACTTATGAACTCATAGCTAAACTCAGAAATAAAATTCCCTCATTTGTCTAAAATTGTCATAACTGACTGGAAGATGTGTCTAGGTGCTGCTCATGTTGTTTTGTGCAATGGATAGATGCAATGTGTGCATTTTAAGAAAACATAGTCCATAAAAGTAATAGCATCTTCTTCATTAGTAAAAGAGGAGCAAATTACTGTTCAAATTACCAGCTTGTGAAGAGTACCTCATTTGCAACAAAATTATGCAATTACTTAGCAAAATGAGTGGCATTTCCTCTGTCAATGTCCATCATTGATAGGACAGCTTTTCATTTGGATATCTTCATTCTTGTTTAGGCAGCTTTCTAACCTGCATAGTAGACCAGATGGCCCTGATATTGCCTATTGGGAAAGAAAGAAGATTGTAATTTTTTTTAAGTTCCAGAAAATTCTGACTTGTCTGAACCAGAACTCTACACTTACCTGAGAATATTTGAAACAAGAGAATGCAGGAATTTCCCCTTTTACATCTAGCAGCAGAGCTTTTAGTCAACCAATTGTAAAGAGAAAGGAAAAAGAAGCCAATAGTGGGTACAGTTGGGGAATTTCTTCACAACATTCAAGGCATTGGAGAAGACCAGCAGGGTTCCACCAATGGAGACATGAAGGTAATGGAATTGATCATGAGATTTCTGACCAACCTGGAAAACATTTTGGCAAAAACAGAGGAGGAAGGAGGAGTGCCAGCTGGGGCAGAGGCAGGATCCTTTGTCCCACCAAGGCTTTCTCCTGAAGCACCAGATCCCAAACTCTCCATCCATGTCAATGGGTGACTCAGTCTCTTAAGCACCTATTACATCCAATGTAATTCCTGTCTCTAGTCACACAATGCAGTTGGTGGGGAGAGTTAATCAATAAACAAGGTCATAGGGGCACTTAACCTTAATGCTTTCTTGTAACATTGTTGACAGATGAGCCAATCCCAGAATGCCAACATAATTATGCAATTTAGGAAGCAGAACTGAGACTGAGCAAAATCAGCACCCTGAATCCCTAAACCTCAACAATGAAATCAGTTCTCACCTAAATACTGATGAAGTGTAACAATAAACCCATAAATGGCATGTAAAAGTATACAAATCATGACCAGCTTATAATTACAAATGCAAGGAATTAAGGTGCAGACCTTTTGTTTCCTTGACTGAGGTTGAGACATATCACCATCAGAGCCTTTTCGCTCATTTTCCTGATCACTTGCGGAGGAGGAACGATCATCACCACTGATGCTTCTCAGAAGTTCTCGAGGATTGAGGCTGCTGAGAACATTCCCAATGGCTGCACCTGGCTGACTGAGCAGATTCCCAGCTGAAGGGAGGGAGTGGGAATGATGTGGATGAGCATGAGACCGGGACTGGGGTGTAGGGATTAGCACATGACCCTGTTCTGCTTCGTGAGGGATAGGGACTTTTGCATTCAGTTTCACATTTTCCTTTGTCTCTTCTTTGTCCTCCACCTGAGCATCAATGTATCCTGTTTCTTTAGTCCCACCTAGGAAAAGGAAATAAAAGCTTTCCTGTTAAAAAGCTATTCACACTTTTTCACTTAAGTCTGACCACTTGGCGAAATCAACTATGTACATGGTATTCCATAAATTTTGTCAACCCATAAGGAAGCTAATTATATCATTGCAGAAGTGTCTTTTTTCCAGCAGAGTACCAAAACTGTCCACTCTCAAAAAGAGAACTATTTCAAAATGCCTGTCTGGACAAGAAGTGTTTTTTTCCAAGAATGTGTCCCATTGATTTACAACAGGTAAGTGCATTTGCTCTTGTATGATGATTTTCCTGGCCAGCATACAAGTCAATGTCATCTCAGTGAAAGGCCCCCCCATGATCACTTGACTCCTCCAGTCTTCTGTCTTTGGAAGATCCCTAAGAACACTGTGTACACAAGGAAATTGAAATATATATGAAAATTGAAGACAGTAATCAACGCTGAAGTCAGAATTGTTCCAACAGACATGTTGCAGATAGTTCTTTTCAGTCCTGGACAGATTCTTGCACATTACTCAAAATAGAGAGCATTTTGAGCATCTCAGGAGAAAGGCATTTCTTTGAATCATGAAAATGGTTTTCCTTGTAGGGTATACAATCGTCCCTCGCCACTTCACGCTTCGACTTTCGCGGCTTCGCTCTATCGCGGTTTTTTCAAATACCTGTATATTGGGTAATACGAGTGTAACGGTGACTAAAGAGTGTTATTTCATGTCTATTAGAGCCCTCTAGACATGAAATAACACTCTTTAGTCACCATTACACTCATATTACCCAATATACAGGTATTTGAAAAAACCGCGATAGAGTGAAGCCGTGAAAGTCGAAGCGCGAAGTGGCGAGGGACGACTGTATGCTTTTTGCCCCATAAATGTAAGTATTGTGGTAACAAACTTATGAATCTTACTGATTTTTTAAATAGATCTATATTACACCTGCACTCTAACTGGATTCATGGATTCAAATGCTGACCATGAGGATAACATTTTCCATAGCTCAGACTAATATGACAGCCACATTCAAATGGGACAAATACTCACTAGTTTCAGGTTGCTCTCCACATGAAGGACTGACAAGATCAGCTTCAAAGGCCTTGGGGAAGGCAGAAGCTGAATCTCGAATAGAAATATCAGCTTCTGTTTCCTCTTCAACACTCTGGGCATGGAGTAGATCAGCCAAAGGTTCTGAGCCTGCTTTGGAAGTGTCTGACACCACTGAATCTTGCTTTTCCTCCATTGCTGATGTCCTCTCTGAGACACTTCTCTCAGGAGGGTAATATACTTCAGGTTTTGGCATCTCTAGACTATAACATAGATTAAACTCATCAATCTTTCAAATTAATGCGTTGTGAAAGTATGCAGATGGTGCAATTCATTCTTCTCTAAGTCATTCCAGGTTCTGAAAAAGAATGAATGTGTACACAGAGCACATGACTCTTTCAATGTAAAACTCCCATCACTCACATGCCAAGCCTATATTAAAAACTCTCAGTCTAATGTTGTCCCTTTGGAAGATCCCAAAGGTTATGAAGATCTTCCAAAGTCAATCTGATAATTGCTCTTAGTACATATGAATGCCAAGTTTGGAAGCTCTTCATGGCAGAAGAATGGATTGCACCCATAGAGTGATTTAAGGAACTCACAGAGAAGCTTCAGGGCCTCGGTCCTTCACCTTCATGTGAGCAATGTCATAATAGATGGCAGCATTGACAACAAACTGCATTGGGGCAATGACCCCATATGCTTCAGGTCCATTTTCTAGGACTAGTGGATCTGACACATTGGGGTCAAACATCACGGCATTTGGTGTCACAAGGAGTACTCCTGCCACCACACCCTGAAGCAGAAGGTGCATGACATGGATTGGCTCAAATTGGAACAGAAGTATTAAGTATCTTTTCTGAAAAGCAAAGAATCATCTGAATTTTGAATATTTATTATTTTCTTCATAAAAAAATATACCCATGCATGTGAAACGCACCTGCCCATCAGTTATGTGGCGTACATTAATTTTGAGAAACTTCTCCATGCAGTCCTTGTCTAAACTCCTTTCTTCATCCTCAGATTGTGATAAAGAATGAGAGCCAGAACTTTTAGGATGCCTAGGGGATGCACATGGTGAGAGTATACGTTCAATGTGACCAGGTTTGGGGGAAACAGGTCTGATGGCTTCCAATATATCTGCAAAAAGAGTAAACTTTTGAAGACATCACATTCCTTATGCAGAACTAACTTATAAAATTATAGTTCTTCAAAAGTTCCCAATGATCATTGAATAGCTGCTACAATCACTGATGCCAGCAGAAAAATATTTTCATTTTGATGGTTCATGGGTTCTTAAAGCTAAAAAATTATAACTGTTCAAACAGAAAGGCATCACACAGCATCATACCAGCTTCTCATGCTTGGAAGTCTAACTGTCCACTACACAAGTGATAGGATTGCTGGAAGTGATTCTGAATCCATAGTTTGAGGACAGTAATGAGTCCTGGACACTTGGTGCTTTCTACTAAGCAAACAAACAAATTAAAAATAAGAATGGGGACTTGGCTGATGGCATATCACTGAAATCAGGAAATGCATGCAAATTACAAGACAGAAGTAACAAAGTAAAATTTAACTCTTTGTCATGATTAAGAAAGAGGAATGAACTGATGCATATGTCTACCTACTTTTGAAGTGAAAATAGCAAGCAGGGAAGGAAAGAGGGTGTCACAATGGGACAACATTGTTAGAGATGACAATTGGTTCCACTCAAGTGGAGTGAGAGGTCACAAAAGAGCAGTAGAGATATCCAATACTTTCAGCTGTCAATGAAGCCACTCAGCACCAATTCCTCCTCTCTTCTCCCCAAATTCCTTTCTTGGAGATCCAGACTGATCTCTTTTTTTTTTACAAGTACCTAATAAATGGACTGCTAAAATATTTTTCTCTATATCATGACTGCTCCATAGAATACCAGTATCTGGATAATTACAACAGATGAGTGGATTAGTATGATCCATATATTTCAAATGCAATGGAACAGGCTGCATCTCATACATGAGAGCCTAAAATATTGCCTCCATTCCCTTCTCATTTATGAATAAGTCCCAACTGATAATAAACACTGAACTCCAAAATACTAGATTTCAGACTCAACTTTTTCAACTGGTAATACAAATACAGTATTACCAAACTTCACATTTTTTATGATACCACAAAAATAATTCCAGACTTCCCACAAAATTCCCACAAAACAGAATTAAGAGCTTCAGTTTTTCTCAAGCCTTCTCAAACTTCCTGTACATGGTCTCCCCTTTTTTCTCTCTAGCAACTTTCTCTGCCCTTCACATGGTTTTGAATTTAAACTGACCTCCACGTTCAGAGACAGCAATTATTGACTCTTGAGATGGCTCATCATCAGCTGGTTCTTCTACTTGCATGGATGGTTCCTGGATAGGGACATACAGTAGTTGGCCTGGGAATACCAATCGGGAACTCAGACGATTCATCTTTGCCAGTTCAGAAGGAGTTAGATGGAACTTAGCAGCTATGCTCGTCAATGTGTCTGATGACTCCACCTAAAAAGAGGTCAAGAGGACACAAAAACCTCAGCACACATTCCATAAATAACACCCTGCCTCTTGTGATATTTATTCAAAACAGTTTGTGTCATAAAGGAGCGTGAATAATAATTTTTTTACATTCATAAGGACTGCTTGAACTGTTTGAAAACAGGCCTTTGTGAATGCCCAGACAACTCCTAGGGAGCTTGAAGAAACATAAAAAACAAATTTTCAATCATGATGACTGTAACAGAGGACACTATTTACATTTATAAACTGGGATGCTCAACTTGATGTTTCCTTCATTGACATACTGTATTTTATCAGCTCAGCATATATCACTATCATTTCTGGGCTGAATTTGTCACAAATGATGCTCTAATTAAATGCAAATTGTAACCTAGTCAAAGTGATAATCAAACCAAAAGCAGAGAAATCCAATTTACAAAAAAAAACTGAAATTTTCAGGTAAAACTACCTAGTCCAAAATCTCATCCAGACAAAAGGAGAGTGGATTAATTTACCTTGTAGGTGGTGGCATTGGGTGGCTGAACCATTTTGGACTTCTTATCAGAGGGAGATCCTTGAGCTCCTCCCTCCTCCATCCCTGTGGCAGAATATGAATAAATAAATAAATAAATATCTAAACTCACTAAATAAAATCAGTACTCCTGCATGATAAAAAATACTGATCAAGGTATTCGAAGACAAAAGTGCAGCAAAAATCTTTCTCGTGAGTTAGAAAAGACGTTGATGGATGCACCACTTTAAGTGGGTTTACCTCAACTGCACTCATAACACACAATCCCGTTCCAGACGGTGACGTTCCGAGGTGGATGAAAAGCATCCCTGCGCAGGATTCGCAAATCACAGGCCTGCATGTCGGTATAGATATACGAGAACCGGGACAAGTAAGAAGATTCTCCAGCCATGCGGAGCTGGGGACAATCAGGCGAAGGCCAGCTGAGTTAGACTGGAGCCATAGCGTACTCCCTAAGGTTTCCTTGGGAATCGATAGAACCACGGACCAGGTCGATATGACGGATCGGGCAACACTGTGGATTCCTCTTTATTCTTCAGTCTCAGCTGATGGGATTGCGTGCACTCGGACTAGTATATTGCCGGACAGGGGTGCCAGATCCTTATGTGTTGAATCTTGGTGATGCTCTGGGGGATATTAAGGAATGTAAACAAGAACCTCTCGAAACTTCCTCTCCCAATACCACTCTAATGCAATGAGGCGAGTTTTCTCACAAGTTTCAACGTAGCCTGATTATATATAGAAGTTCCCAGATTCGTTACCCACGTGGAATACGTGCACTGACATGTTATATCAAGCAATACTGGGGTCTACTCCCACACGATGTGTATTTATAGACGACGAAACTTTGATTTCATGTCGACAGACGCCATGCTCATATAAGTATTTCCTCGAGAGATATCCTGCTCCTCGTGAGATTCGTGGAACCTTAGCAACTCTTGCCACATCAACGCAAAAGCTCTTGTTTTTGGCTTCTAAAAAAGAAATACTTGATTCCCTAATTGACGACAAAAATATTCCTCAATCAAGAATGCACCCCTTCTTGAAGTAGACTGACCTATTGGGAGAGAGAAAAAGCTGTTTAATCCCCCCCTCCTCCCAAGCATGAGGACCTCTAAAATTTGGGAGGAAAAAGGCTGGGTTTTTCCCCAAGCATGAGGGTCTCTGAAATAAATAAAAAAAAAGTTTTATAAAATAGTTTCAATATCCGGAAACGATTGCAACTTATATACAGCTTTTTTCAGATGCCAAACACTGCTATGAATGCAAATTTGTTTTCCTACCAAGATTTTACTCCAGGGGCGCAGGCGTACGTAAGGCGGGGCTCAGGGGGCTCAAGTTCCCCTTTCGTCCCTGGCAACCACTCCCCCGGCTCGCCATTTAACTGTCAATGCCATTGGTTAACACTTCTTTTTACAGAAGGAAAGCATACTAAAAGCAATCACCGCCTGCAGCAACCTGTGTTTTTCCACATAGACCTGTAGCCAGATTCTAAGCAGATTCCAGAGGCTCCTCTATGTGAAAAAAAAGAATAAACTATGGCTTCATCACCTTAACCCTCGGGTAACAGAAATAGGTTTCGTTACAATTACGTCGAAAATGGGTCATATATAACTCATATGTTAACATTGTTTTACTCGTGTAAATTTATTCACATTGCTCCACAATTACTAACCCTTTTAGTCCCACGCGGCCGATCCATAGGCTTGATCGACTATGCATCGTTCCCGTGGCACTAAAAGGGTTTTGAAAAATCAGCTTAAAAAATTACTTCCATTATTGATCTCTTCCTTCAAAACAATCAGGCAAAAAATCATGGGATCAAAAGTGACCCCATTTCCGTCATATGAAGGTTAAGGTAAGCTTACTGAGAAAACGACCTCAACGAATTTCGGATCCTTAACAAAAAAAAAACACTAAAGCGGATATCAGATTACGTTGAAACATCTGCTCCGTCATCAGTCGAGGATGACATCACGTCTCCAGATAGTTACTCACGAAACATACCTCAATTGCATCTCCAGCCATTTAGAGAAAAACAAGGTGAGATTTATGCACAACATGGAAGTCCGACGGTGCGAAGCGCCAATATACGAGGTAAATCCATGCAGTGTGTCGTCACCTACTTAAATGCAGGAAGAGCTGAAGCCGTATAAGCAAGAATACGAGAGAATTCGTGGTTTCCTGCGAATCTAAACATTACTGTTCTGTTCCAGAGGAGCATGCCTCCCGCGTAATTCATGCCATAACTTCACCGCCGATTCATGTACGTCGATTCATCTTTCCATCATATACTTCTTGCGTAGGCTGAAAATTTTCCCATCAAGCTCATTATCATAGATGTAGTTCATCATCGAATGGAAAACCTCATGGGTATAAAAACATCCGGAGGATCCGTCCTCGGCTTTTCTTAGCAAGGTCCTACCTTGCTCAGAAAAACATGCAAGAGATCCAATCTCCATTCAAATGCAGGATTCTACCTCGACGTTAAGTGACACAAAGCTCTTCGCGTGACTACCAGCATGCCCTTTGCCAGAAGAAGTTTGGGATGGAAGTAATGGGCATGATGAGAATGCATCCAAACGTTGGTGGGACAAGATAAACAGAGCCGTCTTCTAAGTTTAAAAAAAAAATCCGGCATCAAGATGCAGTCTCTCGGTTCGCACAGGCCGGTCAACTTTTTCAGTTTTCGTGATTTGGAAACCAAAGACTTTCTGGTCCAGCAGAGAAGACTCTAGAGGACGGTACCCGACGCTGCCTGACTGATGAAACCCTAATGAAACCACTATTCGGGTTAGAAACTTGGATCCCCGACGGGAACGAAACTCCTCTACCTCGAATGAACTTCTCTTGCACAGAGTCTGCCAGAGACGGAAGAGGCCAAAGGGGATCTTCGTTGCCAGGAACAGGAAGTGCAAAGAAGTCTGCATCTGTGAAGAGAAGTAGGAAAGATAGATGGGAGGTGGGCGCCAGTGGGGAGCATGGCAGATGGAACTCCGCCAACCTCTTCTACGAGAGCCCTCTCAATCTTCTATCTTCCTCTCTATCCCCATTACACTTCCTCCCTGCCTCTCTTTCCATCTATCTGGACATGCTTCAACCGCAGACAATGAATGGCAGGTGCTGTCCAGGAGCCCGAAATGAGTCGAGCAGACATCAAGTTCAGGGGGCGGAAGATCGTTCGAGGGGAGAGAACGACTCTCGCTAATTCAGCCTTCAACTGCACTTCATCGCAGATCGTCGAAGGTCCCAGGATGACAAAACGACCGAAGAGACTTGGCCGAAATTAAGGCAGAATGGTTGGTGATTAATCGTCGCGGCCTGTGGGGTGATCGATTGCCTCCCATTCGCATGCATAATTCCTCGTCAGCTCGGACGAATCCTCTCTTCCCAAGAGCAATCCTGCGGGCCCCGGATCCTTTTACATCCGTGAATAGGGAAGAAGTTCTCATCTTCACCCGCCTTGCCCCTACTGCGCACTTCTACTCTTAAGCGGATCCACCTACCCGGGCCGAACAAAGTGAGGCATCCATCAGGGGGCGAGTCAGCGGGGCCCTTCTCATGAAGTCTTCCTTGGATCCCCACGGATGAGAGAGAGAGGGAGAACAGCGCACATAATAGGATTGAATTGAATGAATGCCAAATGGGGAGGGAATTACTCCATGTCTATACACCGGAGCAGGGCCTTTACTTTATTCTTTCTTCTTTTCGCCCAACTAATCTTCGGTTCCTCATCGAGTGCCAGCGACGTAGTAACACCATTTCTTTTCTTCATAATGTCCAGTCATTATTCCGCGCCCTTCAATATGAACGACCCGAGAATGAGAGGGCTTGCATGAGCGGGCTAAGAGGACCGAGAAGCCGTTACAAGCGCTCTCGTCATAGACTTCAGTAATGGGCGGAAGAATCGATTGAAAGGAGGTTTCAGGAGGCTCCCTGGAGTCCAGGAGGGGCCTTGAGGAAGTCATCAGTCATTGTTCTCCAAGAACTCTTCTGTTCTCCGACCTGAGCAAACAGGTCCACTCACATCACACTTAGGAAATCCAAACTGATGGGGACATGAAAATTCCTGACAAAACAAGCCTGTCAAAAATGGGCTTCATATCAAAGACGAAGACGAGATGTAACTCCAAGACGGGATGTATCCCAAGAAAGAGGAGAGGAAGAGAGAAGCTCCAATCGTCGCTATCGATTCCTTAGATCCATCAATGTAATAGGGGGCGAGCCAAGTTTATCAATCTCTCTCCTTGTCAATATAACCTGTTCGTCCTCTGCACAAGATCCTGAACAGGAAATGTGGATAAAAGCCTGGTACTCGGCGTTTAAGCCAACAGGAGAGCATTCTATTGAAAATGCTTCTATTTTTTATTTTTGGCCATTGCCAAAAAGTCATCCAGGAAAGTCTCCAGGCCTTCCATGTGTGATTGGGTCAGAAAATGACAGAGTAAAAGTACAACGACAAAATGAGAGGAAAGCAGCAAATGAGTTCATCCGAGGAAGGAAACATCTGGGAAAAGGGTGTGGCGGAGAAGAATGAAAAATGGACTCTCATCCAACCGCCCATGCCACCGATAACTTGTCATCGTGTACAGTCGCAACTTCCCTGAAAAGGTGATGTTTTACCATATTGAATCTCGAGGCGTGAATTCTGCCAGCCGAAAACCGAGACACAAATAACTCTAAGGTTCAACATCTCAACAACCAAATATCGCGGAATACCTTCATCGGAAAATATTTATGGACTATCGGCAACAGTCCAACAACACGGCACCTATGCACGCGCGCTTTCCTCCAAAAATAGCCAAATGGGGGCAGATTAATCGCGGTACATGGAGAAACAGTCTATAGTCGCAGAACACCTTTATCGACCTGGATATCAGGAACGGAAATTCAGAGACCCTCGAAGAATCCCACAATCCCCTTGAGCCATCTAATGTGATTGGGTCACGCTCATTTCAAATTATCCAAGTTTCCTCACCCTCCTCCAATTTCTTCAAGCAAATGATCAAGATACTGAAGGTCTGGGGTTGCCTGGTTAACAACCCCAGGAATACAGGGAAAAGGGA